AGGTAGTGCCATGCTGAGATACTTCTTGCCCATTTCACACGTAGCAGTTCTGTAAGAAGAAGCAGGAGGCGCATTACTTTCTGAGAGAAGGAGCTTATTGCCACACATGTAGTACTGTACAAGCTGCACTCCTTTCCATGCTGAAGCACATGGAGAAGGGCTCATGGAGCAGGTGTTGCACATCCCAGAGCTGTTGTCTGTCATTACTTCATCAATTATTGGCCTCAGACTAGTTCCCTTGCTCTTGGACAGTGACCCAGACAAAAAAAAAACAGGGAAAAAGAAAAGAGTCTAGCACTAGATATTTTTGTATTAGTTTACCTCTCCCTTCATAACAACACAGTCTTCTTGCTTATGATTTATATGACTTGGTTCTCTCTGCAACCACTTGGCGTATGTCACAGGAGTCCCATCACACCATTCAAAATACATTTGAATCTTGAGGTCATTCAAACCAATCCACAGCACATCAGTAGACTCTAGGAACATAAATGTAGTATTACAATTTTTCCACATTAACAACATTCTTAACTGTCATGTTCGTTTTTGACTGACTAAGAAAATGAGTTTATCATTTTCAGCTTCAAGGCTTTGCTATGTTACTATAATTGCTAGAACTGCAAAATGGATAACTGTTACAGTAGAAATGTAGAAACAAGAAAAACACTTACCATACCCTAGCTGAGACATTGCAAAGCTGTGTTCTTCAATATCATGGATACTTGCTAGATCTCCTTCCTCCTTTCTACAGGAAGATACAGCATCTTTCCATATCTTGGGTTCTCTGTAAATCATATAACAATAACCTGCATAAGACATCCATCCCTTTGGGCACTTAATTGGCCTATAATCATCTGGAAAAAGAAAAGAAATGCAAACAAGTGTTAAAAAGGCCACAGTGAGCAAGACTTGTAATATAAAAGAACATTAGATCTCTTGATAGATCATTAAAAATAATAAATACATGAACATGCCCCAAAAAAGCAGAATACTTGGGGCATTCCTATCAGCAAAGTGCTTTCAGTCTTTGTTAACTCTCTGAAGGCGTATTTTTACATGGAGAAGTTAGTGCACCATAAGCAGCATGTATACTGTTAGGTGCCCTGCACTGCCTACTTTATGGACACTTTTCAGTACACACATAATAGGGTAAGCTACTGCTTGCTAATGGCCATGTACTGTCCCATGGAGATTTTGGGCAGAGTACTGGATGCACAGTAAACTCACATTTGAGCTTAATCCCAATAGCTTACTTGTATAGGTGATCCCTGAGCCTACTACTTTGGTTCTTGTCAGACTACTGCCTTAGAGTTCTGCTAGTGATCTTTTCTTTGTAAAAATCATATTCCGGTTCTTTCCCTGTACAGCCATTGCAAAGGGGTATGAATAAAGGATACCAACCAAAAGGCAGGTACATTCCTCTAGTACACTCTGCACACAATATTATTTAGCATCTAATTATGTCACCAGAGCAGAAGCCCAGGCCCTTTTAGGGCTTTGACCCTCATGGGGCTGTCTTGAAGTGGCCTTTATTGGGACAACATTTAAATGCCTTCCTGATGATAGCTGACAAAACAGGATTCCTCCATGAATGTTTAAAACAGACTAGCACATGCAACAGTTTGGTCTTAGCAATGAACAAAGCAGGAAGTGATCTACATTAGTTTCAAATATTTATAAACACTATCTTTTGCACAGGGCTAGTCAGTCTACTGGTTAAATAAATAGGCTCTATTTTTCAGACCAACTTACTTGTGGGAATAATGAAGGAATCTAAAGATGAGTTTCCCTTTTTGCAGATGTATCCACATTTGTGACCGCATGCTTGGTTTGCCCATTTACCATTCTTAGACTGTAGTGTCGCACAGATTTTTTCTGACTCAGGAGAGGGACTTCCTTGGAGAAAAATACAAAAATAGACAGTGTGTTATTATGGTAAATCTTCATATTGCCCACTGAAGGAATAATCTATTTCTGGGTCTTCTTGACCATATTAATTCAATGTCATATTATTTTTTACTAATTACCATTTTAAGAACAGAGTAGTTGACAATTACTTAGCCAACTGACACCAAGGAGTCTGACTACTGCAAACTATTCACATGCACTTCCCTGGCAAGCCAGTGTTACATACTCCTTTCTGGGCCCATTTCACAGATGAGTCAAGTCTTCTACAGCTCCATCTAGTTGGGTTTGGCCTTTTAGTTCAAATTGCAGCTACTTGTAATTTTACCAGTAGATGTCCTTGGTCTAGTCCCTGGTGAGTCAGTTAATACCTAGTAGAGAACTAGTACAGCATCTTACCACTAGATGGCCAGGAGTAGATAACACTGTTTGCCTTGAGTAAACTGCTATCCCAGGATAAGCTGTAGATACACAACTTCTACTGTAACGTACACTCACGGAAGGATCTCGGGAGTCTGAAAAGTGGGGTGCAGATGGTATGATGCATCATCATATACAACCCAACACACATTTTTTTCCAGGTAAAAAGAAACTAGAAGCTTTAGAAATACACTAGGGGTCTAGGGCTACATTATTGAGTTTAAGAGCGAAGCGAAAACACATATAATTTTATTGGCATATGCACGAATTGGTATAGATTATGTTTAAAAAACCACAACCAACTACTGAGAAATAATAAAAAGATGTTATTTCTTTAGTCCTGGAGTCATTAGAATTAAATGTATAGCTCTTTTATATTCATCAAATAGAATATAGTTTTATCTACAGGACTATTGTATCTTGACAGTGCAATGTTTCACTGAAAGTTAATGTTCACCTGAGTTAATGTTTCCACACCTGAGTTACTGGTTTCAGCTACAGTTATAAACAGTCTGCAGGGCTGTGAAATAAGGAGCTACATTATCAGAAACAGCTGACAGACAGCTGTATTGCAGAAGAGAGGTTACTTTGGTTTATGGAATACAAGACTTTTAAATTAGGAGAGAGGGTCACTAATACCTGTGGAATGAAGAGTTCAGAAGAAGCAGTTAGATTATAATTAGCCATGAAGTTAATTGACTTCTTCACTGCTGCCTGAATAGAAATGCTGCTGTTGCTGACAGTTGGTTTTAAACTTGGGTAGAGCAGAAATCAAAGAAGAGTGAAACTGCACCATTGCACTTCCCCTAGCTCCATCCTTGCTTAAAGTGGTTTAGTTTTACCCTTAATTTTATATTAAGTTATACAAGTATTCAGATTCATATAAGGTATCCTGAGGTGTAGCTGTATGTCATATATCTGCTTCTTTTATATCTGTGTGAAGGCCAATTGCATTGAAGGAAAGGTGTTGTGTAATTACGTTCTTGTATATTCATGTTTTGTCTGAAGAAAGTATTTCAGTTTATGAAGAATCAGTTAATTGAAACAGAAGCATTTTCAATTAATAAATACATTTGTTTCTGTAAAACTCTGTTTGGGGAGTCAAAAGGAAAAAGGAAACTAAAAGATCAATGAAAACAAAAATAAGCATTGTTACCATCTTCCTGAGGACAGATAGTCAGTTGTGTTAGTCTGAAGTCAAGCAGAAGGCAAGGTAGAAGTGCAACTGAATCAGAAATGAATAAGCTTTTGTGAGCCACAGCTTATTTCATTAGATGCATAAGCCAGCCTAAGTTACAGCTCCTTTAAAGCACTATGGAAATATTTATACCTGTTCTATTTATAGCTACTTCTCTCTCATTACAATACATATTTAACAGTGGGATTTTATCATCTTGTTCAGCATTTACTTTTAGACATGTGAAAAAATATACCTGTCTGTTTTTTGGGGGGTATTTATGTCTTTGGATTTTAAACCTGTAAGCACCTGCTTCCAGAGCCGATAACCAAATTAATTGCTATGAAAATTATGATAATGTCATATACATAGGATTATGAATCTAGTGTCAGGGTAGAGGAGGGGGAAATTACCATGAACCTATAAAGGCCATTCTGCAGCATACTGTTAATAACTAAAACAATTCTAAGAAAAAAATAAATGCAGAAACATATGGTATATAGCATTGTTTCTAAAAACAAGGTATTTCATTTTTAAATTAATTTTCAATGTGAATTAATAGTGTGAATGCCAAGAAAATCTCAAATGAAATAATAAATGGAAAATAAAAATGCCAATCTTTTAGGTTTCTTGGGTTTGGAATATTTTTTTTCCTTCCCAATTTTGAAATTTCAAATTAAGAATACATTCTTCTCACAGTAGGTCTCCAGTCTAATATTGTACTTTCCCTGTAGTCTTATTTACTGTGGTGAAAATTCTGTGAAATAAAGAAAGCAGATATAGAAGCTTATGTCCTCTAGCCATGAAAACAATAGTACACCTGGGACTTAGATCATTAAACAGATGTAAACCTACCTGGAGCCCAGTTTAAATATCTGAATGGATCCCCGCCAATCCATTGCCATCCACTGTCATCATTCACACTGTTAAGTCCAATCCAGATTTCAGTATTCATCTTGCTAACCAGCCCTAAATAACCAAAAGAAATAAAAAGACAACATATTAGATGGACTTGATTTTGAAGTTACTAAACAAAGTATAAAATAAAACTAAGTTTAAAAAGTACCCATCCTGGACAAAACAGATCTACAAAGTCATCTAGTAATTGCAGGTAGGGATATTGCAATAGCTATTTTTTTCGTGTGGGATAAAATTGTCATTTGAAGACACATTTTGTTGGAAAAATGACACTTTTTTGCAACTTGCATTTTCAGAAATTGCCCTTAACATACATGCATGTTGATGTGAAAGCCTTTGAAATTGTCCTGAGCTACACTCAGTAGGTTTCTTTATTCTTTTACCTGCTACATATGTTTGTTCATGCAACTCTGTGATACTTAATAATTCTGCATTCTGCTGCTGACAGCTTTTCCTTGCCTGGTGCCATGTTAGAGCTGACTCGGAGTTTATCTGATAGTGGATGCCTGTCAAAGAGTTGGTAACCCAAAAAAAGTCCGCAGTGGTGTCTGTAAAGCATGATAAAATATTAACATTAACTGAGAACATAATCATGCCTGCCAACATTTGAAAACAAAATCCCAGTATGGTCTAAATCACATGTATTTGCATACACGGATTCCACAGACTCTTTGTTCCCCTTTACATACACTCCATACATTCAGTAGATAATGCAAAGCTCAACATCCTGCACCTCTCCCAGTTCATTCTACAATTGCCTGCTCTCTGATTCCTCCCGTCTCTGCAGCCTGCCCACAAATTCCAAACATATCGAATCTCTCGTTCTGCTCATCCAGGCCCTCATTCCTCCTTTATTCTTTCCCAGACCTGCAACTCCTACAGGCTTTATTTGTAGATAAGAGACTTTCAGACCATCTCCTATCACTGTGAAAGGAAATCTCAGCTGATTGCCTGCTTTCTTCTGCTTCCTGGGAAGGGCAGCAAATCAGAGATGCTGCACAGGCAGATAGAAAAGCCTACTATCCCATCCTTTGTAACAGTCCCCAAGAGTTACATTGCCACCTGCCTCTCCTCGCCAAGCAGAGATTGCCCATGAATTAGATATTGTGTATGGGCATAAATGCTTTTCTGGATTGTGTCCCTTGCTTTAAAATATCATGTAGTTGTCTGTTACCTTTTTCTGGGCAATATCCGTATAAAGAGTCCTCATCAAAGTTTGCAGATGTTGCACACAATGAGAAAAACTCAGAGCCATCCTTTATGCATGTGGCATACAACTTATTCTTGTACTTAAAAGGGAATACACAGGGTGCCCCAAAGGAATTTCCTAGTAATGTAAATATGTCTATGGAAAGAAGTGGAGAAAGAGCAAAATGTTTCTTTGAAAGCACTGTTCACCAAAATGTTCGACCATAAGCAACATTCCCTGGAAATGTAGTTAAGCTAGAGTTGAGGCTACAAGTACATATAATAATATTGAAAAGTCTTATAAGAATAATGGCATTATCAAGGAGATTTTGTAGGAGGTAAGGAAATGAAAAATTAGCTTCCCCAAACAAATTTAATCTGTCCATCAAAGTATTCACAGCCTATCATATTTCTGGCTGTTTCTTCTTTCGTCTAGACCTGTAATTTGTGCTGAGATATAGAGTGGTGCCAAAGCTCCATCCATTTTTGCCCTCTTGTTGGAGGGAGGAGAGGGGTGGAGAAAAGAGGAATAAAGAGACAACTGGACAGGCCCAAAATCTAAGTAGCCTAAAGGGAATTGGAGCAAGGGATAGCCTTGTATCTCTCCTTACTCTTTTTGATTTAATTATAATCTAGCTGTTTAAATACCATTAATATTTACCATTATTTGTAATGTTGCTTAAAATTAAGGTTAAGTCCAGGCATTCAAAAAACCTGAGGCACAAGTGCTCTAAGTATCATGCTTTACTCAAAAGCATGATACTGCTTTTGAGTAGCATTCTTAGTGCCTTAAAGCAGTGAGGGAGTGAACAGACACAGTGTAGTTTGCCGGGGGGGCACAGAAGTGGCCTGCACTGGCCAAGGCCTCCCAGGAGGCTGTCAGAGTAGCCCCTCCCCCCAGCCCCAGCCCCCCACAAGCTTGTAACTGCCAGCAGCAGCTGGGGTGGAAGAGAGGGGAGGAGGGAAAGGGGGAAAGGGAACCTTGCTACCATTTGAGTCTTCGTGCAGGGTGCAGGGCAGAGCAGAGTTGGGGGCTCCATTCCCTTGCCCTGGTCTCCTGACAGCTGCAGCTCAAACTGTACATGGCTTTTTGCAGTGCCAGAAACTAGGCACTGGGAGGTGAGGAAACAGATTCCCCCTGCCATGCACACCCAGCCCAGCTACCCCAAGGCCCAAGGCTGCAAGCTCTGGGGCCCACATGGCAGGGAAGCTTTGTTTCTCTACTCCCTGGCCCCAGCCGTGCAGGGAGGAGACAGATGCTTATCCGTCTCCTCTTTGTGACAACCCAGGGGTGGGGCTGGTCCTGTGCAGGTGAGCATTGGGTGAGGCTAGCACACAGCCCTTTGTAGGACCCTGAGATGCTGCAGCACTCTGATCTAACTTGAGTCATGATGGTACCTTGTACCGATGCTCAATGAAGCACTCTAATCAAAAGCGCTTTAGTCTGTTAGCACATCCATTCACCATTTGTAAAGCGTTCTATGTGCAGTGAATATCTGTTCAGTTATGGCTGTAGAGCGCTTTCTGTGCACTTCAGACGCTATTTCAGGTATAACATTAACTCTGACTTCCCTGGCTTCTAATGGTTGGGGTTTTTTGGTAATTATAACCTTCCTTAAATAATCTTCTTGTTACATTAATGACATGAATCTTCAAACTTAACTCCAAGCTTATAATAATATTATGCCTAGAAAAAATAGAGGAAGGAGTAAAAGGAACAACAGGGAGAGCCATCAGTTTGTTAATGCCCTCTCTTGCTCTTTATAGGTTACTATAATGCCAAATGTAACAGGTAAATCCTCTCCTTCCAGAACAACTTATTTTTGCTCATGACATTTCAAAAGGTATTTCTTTCTACAGTAAAGTTTCAGTGTATGTGATTTTTTTTAAATTATGATTTTGATAAAAATCATTCCACTTGTTCTTTAAATGTGCTCTCTCCATCTATAGGCATGTGACTGAACTGGGATCATAGATTGAACCATTGTTTCTTTTGTTTTTGTATATCTGTGCCTGATATACACAGCTAAACACAAGTATATTTTTCTATAAACAGCGGCCAAATATGCTAAGTTATATCAACCTTAAGTTACTTAAATACAATATAATACCACATTTTTTCGCTAAGTATTGGATTTACACTAGCATGAATACACAGCTATTTGTTAAGTTGATGTAGAAGTCAAATAATCATTCCCTGTACTGAAAGGAACTCACCATGTGAAACAATTGCAAATGAAGTGCACAGGACAAATGAGGTACACTCGTAAATTCAAAACAAAACAGTCAGGTTTCAGAATTTTACCTTCATAGTGCTGAGAACACAAACTGTCAGTGGTTCCATAGATTTTCCACATACTCCCAATGCCCGATTCTTTGGATAACCTAATTCTTGCTTCTTTTCCTTTGCCATAGTTGAAGAATAATTCTTCTCCATGGATTGCAAGGCGGCTCTCATTTCTGCAGTTCCACTGTTGAAGTTCATTTGTCTTGTTACAATGATCCAGAGTGACCATAACTTGGTTTTTCTTGGAAGGCACTGCCACACATAATTTTGATTTCATATTCAGAAGCTGGTGATCAGAGATCCATCTGAATTTTTGTAACTCATTGTTCTGATTGCAAATAGTAGTTATAAGTGAGTTACCATTTTGAGCTTGAACACAGAGCTTATTGTCTTCATTGTGTATTAAAAATACTTCACTATCTGCAAAACAAAATAAGAAACATATTATAATTATACATATTATATGCATTATATATTATATAATAGAATATATAAGGTATATAATGTTATATAATAACATTAACTATATAAAAGGAGGATTGTAGGTAAGCTGAGTATCTGACACAGGGAGAAGGATGGAGCAGATGGTATGGTGCATCGTCAGAAAAACCACATTTTTCTCCAGGTAAAAAAAAAAAAAAAAATGAACTTTACTAATCTGCTATGAGTCTAGGACCAGCGTTCCCTCTAAGAGGAGTGGTGTGCGTGGCCAGGCAGGCGCGCTCATGCTGTGCTGCCAGACACGCCTGTGCAGCCAAGTGCGTGATCACGCAGCTTAAACGAAACGCTGCCTAGGACTGTATTATTCAGTTTGAGATCAAAACAAACAACTTTTTTGAAACATGCATGAATTTATCAATATATTATGTCCAAGAAACATAACACACTAGGCCAAAACAATCAAAGGATATTGTTTCTCCTGTAGTCATTAGAATTAAATATACATCTCTTTTTTAGGTTTATAAAACAAAATCTAGCCTCCTTAAGCACCTTGACAGTGCATCCAGTACTTCACTGAAAGTTATTTCCACATCAGAGTTAATGTTAACTCAATTAACCATTTCTACTCTTGAGTTAATATTTTTAAGCTAGAGTTAAAAATACTCTTCAGGACTATGAAATAGGAGCTACATTATAAGGAGCAGCTAACAAACAGCAGAATTCCTGAAAGAGGATAGTTTGATAATGGAACATTGAGACCATTAAATTCAGAGAGAGAACCATTGACATCTGTGAAATTAAGTGTTAGAAGAAATGGAGTAAATTATAATGAGCCACAAAGACAATCAAGTCCCTGTCATGCCTGAATAGAACTACTGCTAATACTAGGCAGGTGGTTTTAAAGGAAGGTGAAACTGAGCCACTGAGCCACTGCTCCCCTGGCTCTTCCCCTATTTATTTGCATAGCTCTAAATGTAAACATTCCTGGAGCATGACCCATAACTTCTAACATATAGGGACACTTTTGTGCATACTATTCAAACTTATCAAATAGAAGTAATAATTACATACTGTGCGTGCACATGTGTGTATGGAATAGCAATACAAGAAACTCAATGTAAGGAAAAAGAATGTGTGTGTGTCTGTACTAGTAACGTCAGTAATACAAAATTACAGACAGGGATGGAGCAGGAATTCAGGTGGTTCATGCAACTTGAAAGCTAACCTAGGATTAAAGGAGTCTAATGAGAGATTGTCAGTCACTGAATGGTTTTTGAGACAATGGAGAGTTCCCATTGGGCTGAATGTGAAGCAAACATCAGCTCTGAGCTCTTACAAGAAAACTGAATGTCTTTGTTTACCAAGAGTTTCTCTCCTGCTTCCCCAGTACATGACAGAAGCTGCATCCAACTCATTCTTCTGCCCCATTGGTACTTTGCTTCCATACAGAATAGATTATTTGGTCAGAACCCTCAGGGGAAGGTGGGATATTAAACGTAACCAGTTCTCATGACCATTAAGGGCTGGTTTGACTGTCAGCTAGGAAGTAGAGGAGAACTGCAGCACACAATCCACACTGCCCTAATCACTCTCTGAACATGGCTCAGCAGTACCATGGCTGGAAGAGGATCATTTGAGTCAACTCTGTGTCATCTTCTGCTTCCTGTTAGATCACAAAGCTTTTGTATTACCCAGCTGGTGGACTGGTGAAAGTGACCGTTGAATGGCCCCCCAAATCTTCTCTGGGTCCTCTACTTATGTTGAGCTTCTCTTTACACATCTCTTCTCCTCAATTCCAGGGGATGAGAAAAGATTAAAAGGGAATTGCTGTCAGTGCAGTGTATTTCCCTCTCCTCCTAGCAGGGAAGGAAGCAGAGCTAGCCACAAGCAAGCATCATGCATCTGTGCAGTGGGTGACATCGGAAATTTTAATATGGTAGGAATTGCAAGGGTCATTTTGGAATTTATTAAGTTTTCTTGACATACAATTAACTCCCATGGTTAGAAGTTAGTTGTGGCACACTTCCCTGAAAGGCTTAATGAACTCGTTGTGCAGTCAGCACACAATCCTGCAATATGCCCCTTGGGCCAATACTTTGGACAGAAGCACTACTCTCTAGGACCTCTCCCAATGAAAGGAGTCCTGTCCTCCAAACTTTAATCCACCCCCATTAGTGGCTGTGTGTTTAGCAACAGCCCCTCGAGTGCTATAGTATCAAAGACTTCTAAAATAAATCAGCTTGGAAACTCTAACCCAAGAATTTGACCAAATGCACCATTTTATTTTATACCCTAAACTAAACCCTGATGATTGCCTGTAAACAAGAAAGTAGGGCTCCAAATATCACCAAAGTTGAGTAAACTTGTTTTAGATGAGGGTAAATTGAGAGAGAAAGACTTAACTAATCTGCCTTGGTGCCAATGAAAATGTTAAGTTCACTAAAGTATGTGCAAAAAGAATCCATTTACATTTGCATTTTCTCGGAAAAGACCAGACAGAGACTTACCTGGCAGTTGAAGAGATGTACTTATGAAGGAAATAAAAATAAGGAACAGATAGACAGCCATTATAAATGTTTCATTCCTTTTTTTCCCCTTTGCTTCAGAAGAATGGAGAACAGTAGTTAGTTTCTTTCAAGAAGCCCTTTCAAAAAGCCCTTTGTGCAATGAGCCAAATTAGCAAGCCCTCCTCAGTTATGAAGATTTAATAGGTATAGGAAGTTCTGGGCTTTAAATAAGGAACTGTATCTTGTCACATGAGTCATTTTGAAAGAGTACATTTAAGTGGATTAACTTTGCTGTTCTAAGCTAATTTCTGTGAAGAAGTCCCATCTTTTAGAGAAAAGACAGTGAGGAACTAAATATAACATTTCAACAGAGCTCGGAAACAGGTTTTGACACAGAAGGATCATCGTTGTTAGGATTACCGTATCAATCAGTATTCCAGAAAGCATAGATCCTTATAAATATAAGGAAAGAAAGAACCATGTGTGCTAAAGATGAGGCTGTAAATGCAAATGATTAGTTTAAAAGAGAAGGACTAGTGGAAAAGGAAATGGAAATCAAAGTTCAAGTCAATATGACCCTGGACATAGCAACCCCTCAGATTCATATAGGCATAGGGGTTGCCTATGTAGGCACAGGGGGCAGAGGCGGGAGCCGGCCCTGGGGCCTGGCCCATGCTGACAGAAGAAGGCGCAGCATGTGGTTCCTGTGTGTTGCGCCGGGTCCTGCCGTGGCTGGGCCCTTCCCATAGCTGCAGGACCTGGCCCGGCATGTGGGGACCGTGCAGAGCCGAGCCAGGTCCTGCTGGCCTTGGGGCTGCTCCTACTGCCTGGCTGCCAGGGATTTGTTTGAGGCGGGGCAACAGGCACGTGCATGCTCATCTGGATGTGCCCAGTGAATCTTCCCTAAAAAATCTCTTGGACAGATTTTCTGAATCATGCAAAAGCTTCAGGAGATAATTAGTCTCAAGATGGCTGGGATCATGTACCGAGGGATGAAAGAACCAATATCTGACATCACTCTAGAGCAGGGCTATCCCTACGGTATGGCAAATCATGATGACTGCACCAGGCCCTGTGCTTTGAGGGGCCCTGCAGAGCTGGGTGAAGCAGCCACAGTCCCTCCTGCAGGTGCTGGTGACTACACCCTGCACCATGGAAGAAGCACAGAGACCACCTCCCAGGCATGGGGGAGACCCTAGCCTGTGCCCTGCCTTTGTGGGGAGTCCCGTGGGCCCTGTGCAGTGTTAAGGGGGCCCTACACAGGCTGATTTACCTGATGCCCTGCAGGCCCCAAAGGTCATCCCTGCTCTAGAGGATAAATCTGTTGGTGTTGCTGACAGTTTTTGCTACTGGAGTCTACAGTCAGCAGAAATCTTGACCATCAGACTGAACTGGCTAACAGAATCAGAAAACCAGCTAAGAATTTTGGGCTATTACAAAAAAGTGCATGGAATAGTAGCAAACTATCAGCTAAGGTAAAGATGTGAATCTATGAGACATGTACTGTTATCCCTGCTTTATGGTTCAGAAACATGGCCCACATATACTAGGCATATCAAGATACTGAACAGCTTTCACTTGAGCTGTCTGCGTAAGATGTGGAGGGTAAAGTAGCAAGACAGAATACCAAACACAGAGGTACGGGAGTACACAGTTCTGACACACTTAGAAACCATTATCCAGAAGAAAAGGTTGTGATGCATCAGTCATGTTAGAAGAATGGGAGAAGAATATTTTGTATAGTGAGATTCAAGACAGCTCTAGAAAGCAGTGCAATGTGTGTAAAAACTATATGAAATCCTTCAGCAGCAATGTAGAAACTGGGAGAAGCATGGAGAAACCCCCCCAATCTGGGGGGAATATCTGGCACTGGGTGCAGTTCAACATGAAGTGGCTTTGATCCAGAGGATGGAAGCAAAGTGAAAAAAGAAGAAAGCAACACGATGTAAATTTGTTGGACTCCAACTTAGACAACATATGGATCTGTGAAACTTGTAACAAGACATGTCACTCTTGTCAGCCACAAAGGGATTAATCAGGCAGCTTAATAGAATTCATATGTGTACACCATAATCCAGAGGTTCCACAGTTGTCTACCTAATGGTGCCAAGCTTGATCCATTTGGGAGAAGGTCATGTGTATCAAGGACATCTTTTGTTTTTCTCAATGAAAATTCACCCTGGTCTAGCCAAATAATAAACTATACTTAGTAGTGAACTCTCAGTGCTTCACAACTGAAGTCCCCCAAGATAGTTTGCAGTAAGTATGCCACCTGCAAGTGCAAAGTGGAACATTATCAGAAATCTGTTACTAATGCAAACCAGCATGGCACTGAGCTCCATAGTTGAGTTTAGGGAGCCTGTATCTTTAGCATGGACTAAAATGCAGAGAGGACAAGAAGTAGACCTAGTGCAGGGGACTAGAATGGGATAAGAAGTTGGGGAAGTAGTACAAAGAGTGGAATTGTAAGGCAAGCAGGGAGACAAAGGAAATCAAGACTGGTAAGTACGGGAGAGAAAGTCTTGTGTTGGCTGGGCCGGATGATTGGAAACTAGGGGTGGTGAGAAAAGACTAGATTTGGCTGGACAAAGAAAAGAGGAAACAGGAAAGATCTAGCTGGAAAAGTAGTATGTGATCATGCAATTAAAGACTATTATTATGCACAAATACAAGACAAACAAATTAATACTGAACTTGCTGGCATTGTAGCACTCGTCCTTAATTTTTTTGGGGGGTGGGGTGGGAAGGAGGGGTGAATATTATGTGAAATTTAATTTTGATTCTGTGAAATCCACCAGCTCTTATACTAGCTTCAAGCACAAGCCCTGATGCTCTGTTTTTAGAACAGGGGCAAAGCCATCAGAAAGTACACCATGGGTAGGTGGAAAGCAAGACAGGGAGGAAATGGGAAAACTTGAGGTTGAGGGAGCATAGCACCTAAACAATTGCTCCCATTCCTGGTAGCTCCTATTCCAAAGTCTCCTACCATCTCCAGAATACCAGAAATTAATAGAAGGGGGCTCATGGTGATGGAACATACATCAGCCTAGTTGAGAAAGAGAAACTGAATTTATTCAGAAAAGAGTTAGTTTTAGGGCAATTACTTGTTAATTGTAATGTAAAAAGAAAGGCTCATGACACAAAAAATGGAAATATTAGGCTGTGACTCATGCCAGGACCTACACTAGATTTTGCCAGAACAAACCCACTATTAGGAAGTGAGAAAGCAGGGAATTGGCAAAGGTGCAGCCTAAGTTTCTCTTCCATTATGAAAGGAAGGTTGTGAAAGCTTGAATTACAGATAAGACAATCATGAAAAACTGTCATCCTTGACTGTGAGGAACTGCCAAAGAAAAGCTTGAATCCAGTTGGAAAGAGGGGCCAATGAAGGTTGTGATGACTCAGTATGTTCCTTCAGCCATCTGCCTATAGTCACAAATTCTTTATATTCTCAGTACTCTGTTTCATCACCTTTCCTCTAAAAACTGAATACATCTGGAGAAAAAGAGGAAATGAGAATTAAATATAGATTATTAAGAAGTGTGGCAACATGTTAGTATAGGAACACTTACATGCAGTTGCAAGTTGTTACAACAGCTTCCACAAAATAAGTTGATGATAGTGCCAGATCAGGTTCTAGGAGAAAACTTCCTACACAAAGGCCTGAACAGCATTATTAACACCGTTGTTCATAGCTCTGAAGAGCAGAGGGACTTTATGATCATCTAGTATAACCTCTTCCCAGTCATCAGATTTCAGCCTGTATCTCCTGTGGCAAACTTAACAGCTTGTGACTGAACAGAGCGTGTTTTATAAAAAAAAGATACACTTAAAATCTCAGCCAAAACACCCTGCACTTGGAAAGCTTTATCCCTTTAGATGACGCATTCAAGACAGGGTCAAAATGCATTGACAGAGCAATTTAAGGTGGTTTACATTGTTGCATTACATACTGGATGAGTTCTCTATGAAAGCTGAGAACCTCTCTCTACCTGAACAGTTTAATCCAGCTTTTTTCACAATCACTAACCCAGAAAGATGATGTTGAAACTGAGTGGAGTGCCTTCTCCAGTAGGAACTCTATGTGGAATGTTTATAAAGTCAAAGTTAAGAACACTATTTTCCCCCTCTGATTGTATTAACCTACCCATATCACTAAGGACTAAGACAAACAATTCTAATGAATCCAGGGGACTATTGAAATGAACTATTTGTATTCGATTAAAACCCATGAAGTTGCTTCTCTGGCCTTGTCTTCACTAGGCTGCTTCTGGGCCAGAATTTCTAGGTGCAGACAGAAACCACCACAGGGAAACCACTGGAGAGCATGACACTCAGCAAGCTGTCAGAAGGTACAGGCAAGACTACACATGTCTTCTGTGTACTTCTGGCTGGCAACAAAAGCCGTCTTTCATGCAGACAAGCCATGTTACTCTGGCAGCAGAAAGAATGGACCCTGGTGCCCCAGAAGTGCTGACAGTAAGGACCTACTCAAAGTTTTGCTGGTAGTGTAGACATGTATCTAATCCAGTTATTTCATTTTTTTCATTGAGTGATATTTTTTTCCAGCAAGAACGTTTCTGAAAATCTGAAGTTTCAGACACCTTAAGGTTCACATAGGCATTCAATCTGCAATTTTATGTTTGTTATCCAGTCAGGAAACAAAAATAATAGCGTGAATTTAAGGCAACCAATCACAGTGGAAATGACAGATACTAACCTGAAGGAATAAGTTCAATCTATAGCAGGGATGGACAAGATCCAGCCCACAACAGGTTTCTCTGCTCAACCTGGCCCAGGCACAGGGAGCACTCTGGGCTACACGGCTGATCCCACTGCCCCCAGTGGGGGCACCCAGACTTAACTTCCTGCCAGCCACGCTGGCAGTGGCTCCTGACTGCTGCCGCCAGTGTCACTACCACCACTGGACCCAGCCCCACTGCCTGGGCACCTCAGCCCATGCACCTCATACCCACCGCTGGAGGTGCTGGACAGAACGGGTGGGCAGGGTCTCTATGGTGACAAGGCCAGAATGCACTCAATGGGGCAGATGGGATGGGGCTGCAAGTGGGTGGGGAGTGTCATCCAGGAGCGGGATGGGCAGTGACAGCATGGGTCCGTGCAATGGGCACCAGTTCCATGAGCAGGGATGTGCAAGAAGAGGATCATCGTACAGCCTCTCCCCCCCCCCCCCCCCCCCCCCCCCCCCCC